ATCCGGTAGGTATGATAAACATTGATAAATAAAAATGGTAAAATACCTTGCGTATTATTCACAAGAACAATGAAGGCATTGTTAGCAGTGCAGCTTACTGAAATTGCAACAGAATGTAAAAATAATGCCTGCATTTAAACATAATGACCACATACTGGAAATGCAGTTACATCTTATATTTCTAAAATAAAAGGGATTTGAAACCGCTATAGCAATTTCTATCAGTCTTTGAAATGTTAATATAATGCTAATAGTAAAATGGAGGCATTTATTGACTCCTCCCCCTACCTGACAGAAGGAATTATATAAACCATTGACAGTTCTTGTACGGAAGCAGGGGAGAGCATGAATTTTCAGTGCATTTGACATCTGGAACAAGTAGCTTCTGGTAGAGACATCAATTCCATTACAGGATGGTGATCATTACCAGAGTATACATGAGGGTGAATGAGGCTTTGCAGACTACATTTCATACTGCAAAATATATGAAAATAAAAAAAAATAAACATTTATTCTCTAGTTTGGTAGTGAAGGGTTAAGCGATAATAATAGTTTTACTATAACACAGACATATCATAAAATATAAGTTTTAGGAAATAAGTCAATGTTATGAGATTTTTTTTGACTATTTCAATAGTGAATATAAATTAACATTTAATTTTACAATTCAGTGTTTTGTCATTCAGTCATTCACTGTGGGTACAAAAAGAGAGAGATACACACAGGCATGATTATGATTTACTTTCTTTCCAATTGAGACACTGTGTTCATATCAGAAAATTAATGAAAAGGGTAAGTGCTGTTAACAAAATTAGTAGTATCCGCTTAAACGTATGGTGTTGAGACAAGTTATCTGATTAGAATTTACCTCAATTTTCATGAGGACCTAAGGAGACAGGAGGAAAACTAAAATATATACATTTCTTATTGAGGTCCACTGTGGTGGATTCATGATGGTAAAATGCCCACTTTTGGTTTAAAAGCTATCCCTAACAAGAGCTGCAGAAATCAGTAGCAGTGATTATATATTATTGGAAAGGGTTACTCATCAGTAAACTGCAATCTTTAATATTGTTGAATGGGTAAGGCAGTGGCTGAGTGACAGGCAACAGAGGGTTGTAGTTAATGGAATATATTCAAAGCTTGGACTTGTCACCAGTGGGGTACCTCAGGGATCTGTACTTGGACCCATTCTCTTTAATATTATTATTAGTGATATTGCAGAAGGTCTTGATGGTAAGGTATGTTTTTTTGCTGATGATACTAAGATATGTAACAGGGTTGATGTTCCAGGAGGGATAATTCAAATGGCAAATGATTTAGGTAAACTAGAAAAATGGTCCGAGTTGTGGCAGCTGACATTTAATGTGGAAAGTGCAAGAGAATGTATCTTGGATATAAAAACCCAAGGGCAGAGTACAGAATATTTGATACCCTATTAACCTCAAAATCTGAGGAAAGGCTTTTAGGAGTAATTATTTCAGATGACTTAAAGGTAGGCAGACAATGTAATCGAGCAGCAGGGAATGCTAGCAGAATGCTTGGTTGTATAGGGACAGGTATTAGCAGTAGAAAGAGAGAAATGCTAATGCCATTGTACAGAACACTGGTGAGACCTCACTTGGAGTATTGTACACAGTACTGGAGACCGTATCTTCAGAAGGATATTGATACCTTGGAGAGAGTTCAGAGAAGGGCTACTAAACTGGTTCATAGATTGCAGGATAAAACTTACCAGAAAAGGTTAAAGGATCTTAACATGTATAGCTTGGAGGAAAACGAGACGGGGGGATATGATAGAAACATTTAAATACATAAAGGGAATCAACACAGTAAAGGAGGAGACTATATTTAAAAGAAGAAAAACTACCACAACAAGAGGACACAGTCTTAAATTTGAGGGACAAAGGTTTAAAAATAATATCCGGAAGTATTACTTTACTGAGAGAGTAGTGGATGCATGGAATAGCCTTCCAGCTGAAGTGGTAGAGGTTAACACAGTGAGGGAGTTTAAACATGTGTGGGATAGGCACAAGGCTATCCTAGACTTAAGATAAAGCCAGGGACTAATGAAAGTATTTCGAAAATTGGGCAGACTAGATGGGCCGAATGGTTCTTATCTGCTGTCACATTCTATGTTTCTATGTTTCTATGTTTTAAGTGTTCTGTACATTGTTTTATCAATTTTTATTTGTTTTTTATTGCTGTTAACATTAAAGTACTTTTTTATTGCACCTGCTTTTGCTGCTGCCAGATCTTTGGGCTATATCCTTGGTGGGGATAATACCACATAAGCGTTTTGGAGTTGAGCAAATCGTACTTTTCTCTTAAGCATGTGAGTAGGTTTTTTTTAAATCTTTTTATTGTATTTTATACTCCATATTTATGGTGTACACTATTGTTGTTTTATTTGTTTTTTCCCTATATATATATATATACATATATATATATATATATATATAAACAGGTGATACTCAAAAATGTAGAATATCGTGCAAAAGTTCATTTATTTCAGTAATGCAACGTAAAAGGGGAACCTAATATATGAGATAGACGCATTACATGCAAAGCAAGATAGTTCAAGCCGTGATTTGTCATAAGTGCAATGATTATGGCTTACAGCTCATGAAAACCCCAAATCCACAATATTCTAGGCTCACAGTGTCCCACTCTAATCAGCTAAGTAAGCCATAACATCTGAAAAGGGTTTCTGAGCCTTTAAATGGTCTCTCAGTCTAGTTCAGTAGGAATCACAATCAAGGGAAAGACTGCTGATCTGACAGTTGTGCAGAAAACCATCAATGACACCCTCCATAAGGAGGGAAAGCCTCAAAAGGTAATTGTGAAGGAAGTTGGATGTCCCCAAAGTGCTGTATCAAAGCACATTAATAGAAAGTTATGTGGAAGAAAAAGGTGCACAAGCAGCAGGGATGACTGCAGCCTGAGAGGATTGTCAGGAAAAGGCCATTGAAAAGTGTTGGGGACTTTCACAAGGAGTGGACTGAGGCTGGAGTCAGTGCATCAAGAGCCACCACACACAGACGAATCCTGGACATGGGCTTCAGATGTCGTATTCCTCTTGTCAAGTCGGTCCTGAACAACAAACAACGTCAGAAGCGTCATACCTGGGCTAAAGAAAAACAGACCTGGTCTGTTGCTCAGTGGTCCAAAGTCCTCTTTTCTGATGACAGCAACTTTTGCATCTCATTTGGAAACCAAGGACCCAGAGACTGGAGGAAGAATGGAGAGGCACACACTGCAAGATGATTGAAGTCCAGTGTGAAGTTTCCACAGTCGGTGTTGATTTGGGGAGCCATGTCATCTGCTGGTGTTGGTGCTTCATTAAGTCCAGGTTCAACGCAGACGTCTACCAGGAGATTTTGGAGCACTTCATTGTTGACTTCATTTTCCAGCAGGACTTGGCACCTGCCCACACTACCAAAAGCACCAAAGCCTGATTCAATGACCGTGGGATTACTGTGCTTGATTGGCCAGCAAACTTGCCTGACCTGAACCCCATAGAGAATCTATGTGGCATTGCCAAGAGAAAGATGAGATACATGAGACCGAACAATGCAGAAGAGCTGAAGGCCGCTATTGAAGCATCCTGGTCTTCCATAACACCTGAGCAGTGAAACAGGCTATCTTCCATGCCACGCCACATTGAGGCAGTAATTGCTGCAAAAGGGGCCCAAACCAAGTACTGAGTCCATATGCATGCTTATACTTTTCAGAGGTCCGATATTGTTCTATGTACACTCCTTGTTTTATTGATTGCATGTAATATTCTAATTTACTGAGATTGTGGATTAGGGGTTTTCATGAGCTGTAAATCATAATCATCGCACTTATGACAAATCACGGCTTGAACTATCTTGCTTTGCATTTAATGCGTCTATCTCATATATTAGTTTCCCCCTTTTACATTGCATTACTGAAATAAATGAACTTTTGCACGATATTCTAACTTTTTGAGTAAGTTTGTCTACACCCATATCCCTGAGTGGGGATTATACCACTCCATACTTACGGCTCCATTACATGTGAGTGTAAATTTTATATTTATACCTACCCTCGCTTCATAGCCCTAGTATACTACACTATAAACGATTTTTATCTATTTTATTTCTATGAGAATACCTCCTACAACCATGAAAAAAAAGAAGAGTCAGCACTGCACTTTATCCTTAGGCGGGGCTTGTTCAGCCCAAGCACATAACTTGGAGCTGTACTGAAGCTCCAAAAAAGTGACTATTTAGGCTCTGCAACTACCCCCTATGTTACCCAGTTTTTACCAGACAAGAGAGACTCCGTCCTTGTTGCTTTAGCTGCCATTGGACTGTAATTATCTTACACAAGCACTGAATTATAATTGTATTTTATTTTCTATGTTTCTATTCCTTGACCACATTTGTGATTTGCAGTTTTTGGAATTTGTATGTGCAGTGTTTCAGAATACAGATTGTCACGAACGCACCCTACTCCAAGAGTGTGCGTGACGTAGTTGTGGTGGTGAAAGGGTTAAAGTACACTATTTGTCTGCACTAGACCGGAAATAATGACAAAATCCCCCTTTAACACCACCCACACTTAAACATAATAGTATAACTATTACTACTTTAACGCTGCCACCACCAAGACAATTTATAAATGGGGTGCCTTGGTCCCCCAGGTAAATCAATAATAAAACCCACCAAATATTACTTAATACAATATTTAAGGAATTATAAAAATACTAACTAGTCTCTTCAGGTAACGTGATTCTTAACCAGACAAAGGCAAAACTTAATAAATGAATGTTTATTATGAGCAAAAGATAGTCACAGTGCATATAAAAATATATGATAAACAAATTATTTACACCAACAACACGTGGTTTGGATGCAGAAGAGTCTCTGGAATTAATACTTATAGGGGAGGCAGTCAACCTCTCTAACTCAGCCATTTTTAGCTCATGCTCTCTGGCAGCTTGTCGCTCAGAGGCCTCTCTCTCAGCCTGCCGCTCTGCAGCCTCTCTCTCCCTCTCAGCAGCCTCTCTCTCCCTCTCAGCAGCCTCTCTCTCCCTCTCAGCTTGGCGCTCAGCAGCCTCTCTCTCTCTCTCAGCCTCCTGATATTGAAGGATAAGCTGTAGTCTTTGGTTTGCATCTGCTGAGTCCACATATTTTAACACCGTTTGTAAGTAACAATCCAAAGGATCTGCAGATCTCGGTACATCACGGACAAAAGCTGCAGGTATCTCCTCTGCAGTGTTTGAGGCATCATTTTGCACTGCTTGTTGCATATCATAGTCCACCAGTGCTTGCAATAGTTCCTCTTTTGTTTTTCCCCGACAGGGAATAGATCTCTCCCGGCAAAGCTGGTCTAGCGCTGCCTTGGATTGTGCCTGGTACTCCATTTGGTAAATAAAAGATAGGAAAGAAAAAACAGAGAAGGGGGGGACTGTTAAGGTGTAAATATATTATATATGCACTGAGTTCAGCCTTTGGAAATTGAGACACAATTTCTTTTAGTGCCTGGATTAACCAACAAATCCAGCAACACTAAAATCTGGTACAAAAAGATGAAAAATCTTTTAGTTATCCCACCGCTATGCCACCAATTTGTCACGAACGCACCCTACTCCAAGAGTGTGCGTGACGTAGTTGTGGTGGTGAAAGGGTTAAAGTACACTATTTGTCTGCACTAGACCGGAAATAATGACAAAATCCCCCTTTAACACCACCCACACTTAAACATAATAGTATAACTATTACTACTTTAACGCTGCCACCACCAAGACAATTTATAAATGGGGTGCCTTGGTCCCCCAGGTAAATCAATAATAAAACCCACCAAATATTACTTAATACAATATTTAAGGAATTATAAAAATACTAACTAGTCTCTTCAGGTAACGTGATTCTTAACCAGACAAAGGCAAAACTTAATAAATGAATGTTTATTATGAGCAAAAGATAGTCACAGTGCATATAAAAATATATGATAAACAAATTATTTACACCAACAACAGATAAAAACAAAAAGGATAAAATACAGAAGTCCTAATTACTCACTTAGGTTTTCAAAGTACAACTTCTGTCCAGGGGGTCTCTGGCAAGGAAAGATGGTGACTCACTCAAAATTAGATCTTGGCCCCAAGCAAGTACACCAACACCCTTCAGGATCATTAGATATATACCCTGTGGTTTATCAAGTCTTGCCCAGGGGTGGAGTTAAGGCGTACCTACAGAAATAATAACTGACCACCTCCTTTGTTCCAGACCACTGTCAATCCAAATGGAAACATTTGACTCTATCTTCTTTTTTGTACCTGCCACAGAAATAATAATTGTATCTACAAATTCGTTATTATTTTCCCATTCCATAGACATGTTGCACGTCCCACCCACGATCCAATAGGACGGACATCACAATTCCTTTTCCTAGGGTCAAGTTAGGCCACTCATGTTTGGACTTGGTTAGAAGATGGCGCTTGTCACATTCCAAATATAACAAAAATGAGGCTTAATTATTATTCTGTAGGGGTAAATATGAATGTTTTTTGTCCTTCATTTGGATATGATACTAGAACAAAGCTAATGGCATTTACATATCAAAGAGATTTACTCACCACTTACAAAGTACAGGCCAAATGGATGAAGAGACATTCAGACTTTTTCCAAGTGTAGAACCTCACACCTTGCAGACTTCACATCCATACAGTAAAATCCTTTTCACATTCCTATGCCCTTCACACTACCCCTTCTGTCATCTGCCCTCTGTGGGGGTCCCCGCTTCAAAAGATGTAACCCCTGTTGACCTCAGCAATAGCATCTCTGTAATTTGTGCCATTTACTACAAGAAATCACATTAAAAGATGATATTCCATAGTGTCATAATAAATTATACACCCTTGCCGTGACACAGATATATTTTTGCTGCTGGAGCTTTACCTCTACCTACAGCAATGCCATCAGTAAGCTTGGAATGACTAATGTCAATTATGTTTTTCTTACACCGATGGCCATTAATTTTCAGAGAACACTCCGCTCTCCACCAATGAATGATCTTCTGTGCAAAGACCTTTTTTTATGGGCTACAGTGCTTATGATGCTTGGATTAACCCTTTAAGAGAATAGAAACTTGTCCCTTGGTAAACTGTGATTGGTAGTATTTCCATGCCAACCAATCAGATTGTACTGAGGGCAATATATATGACTACCAGGCCCCTCGTCATTGTGTTAAACTTTGTTGTGTGTTTTAATAAAAGTCTGAGCTGTATTGTGACAAATAATTGACTTAAAATCAGACATTGAAGAAAATGTATTTGTTTTCACTTTTCATCTCTAAAACAATTTGCATATGATACACATTACTGTCCTAGCCCTAAAACTATGAATTTCAATATGTCTGATTGAGAGTTGCAATTCAAGAATCATTACAAAAGCATTTATTGTTATTATGACTAATAAAGCATAAGAATTGTATTGTGTGTGGAAAATCAAAAAGAAAAAATGCTAAATAATTGCATTTGACTTAGCCCTATGCATTCCTTTTAAAATAAATATTCTTAATTAACTAATAACTATGTATAAATATGGATATGTTAGTTGTTACATTAGAACACATCAAAGTACTCTATAAAATAATATTTTTTAATATTAATTATAGATAATGGAGGCTGTCATATCACTTCAACATTAAAGCAGAAATTTCATTTGAAGGTCACCTTCATCGGAAAGGTCTCATTTAGTCATTAGCTAACTTGAGAAATGTATCTTGTAAAATTGTTAATTGTAAGGAACTCTACATAAATGAATTATTGGCCCAAAGGATTTGTGTTGTAACTAAGTGTGTATTACACTAAATGAGTTTTACATTTTAATAAGTTCTTCAGTGTGTCTGTGGTCTCTGAATAGAATTGTTGAAGAAATAATGAAATGAGAATTATAATCTTATGTGATTTAAACTAAGACAGTGAACTGTGCATTAACTTTTAAAGAAATACGTTATAGATGATAAAGAAAGACAGACAGATTAATACATAGACAGACAGACAGCTGGATGGACAAACAGGCAGACAACTGGGCTGATAGACTGGTAGGTAGATAGATAGATAGATAGATAGATAGACAGACAAACAGACAGCTGGATGGACAAACAGGCAGACAACTGGGCTGATAGACAGGTAGGTAGGTAGATAGATAGATAGATAGATAGATAGATAGATACATGAGATAGATAGATAGATAGATAGATAGATAGATAGATACATGAGATAGCTAGATAGATAGATAGATAGATAGATAGATAGATAGACAAACAGACAGCTGGATGGACAGACAGACAGCTTAATCTTCTATGAGAAAAAAATTAAGTCCAGTTTCTATTTTAGTCATTTTCTAAAATAACACATATAAATGTGCAGATCAGTAGCAATAGCATTTTAAATAAACATTTGCAAACTTGACATTTGTCATAATGCAGATCTCATGATATAAAAAATAATTACAGAGATGTAGACACAAATTCGGGAAAAAAATATATAAATCATATCTCAATGCTATTATTTAAAAAAATAAATAAAAAAAATTCTGTTTTCCTGGTGCCTTGAAGCATATAGTGATTACAAACACAAGATTCACATGGAGTCAGAGCAAGTCTGTTCCCAGGAGAGGCCAGACATTCATCTGGCATGAAAACAAAGAAATGATTTTACAACAGTAAATCAGGTGACAAGTACAGCTCAGGATTTATTGTTTGGACTTCTGGAGTAACATAACTCCTTGAAAAAAATTTGGTTGACATAGCTTCAGTATAATATGCAGTTCATAGCGTAGGCTTCCAATTGCTAATTACTTTGCTAGGACATATTTTGGACAATACTATGTACCCTAAAAGGTTAGAAAGATAGCTGGAGCAAATATTTATATTAATTTACAAAACTGTGAAATAGGAATGCTATGTCAAAATGTTTGATCTGAATACTATGGATACTCCCAAATGTTACTCTGGTGGCATGTCTGGTATTAATAAAAAGATGCAAAATTTCAAAAAAAAAAAAAAAAACATGTCTTAGACATAACTTTAGGCAAGCTAATTGACCATTTTGTTTAACTGTTTTAAGTCATACCTACTTTATGTGTCAAAATTAGTTATGCAAAATTTCAGATCCTGGCTAAAATATTTCCAGATATTCACTACCATAAATAACTTAAGGGGACTCTAGAGCAGTGCTCCTCAACCTTCTCCTAAAGACACACCTAACAGTCCAGGATTTAGGGATTACCCAGGTGTGTCTAAGGTGTTTAGAAAAATTAAAATTAAAACTTTAGAGTTTAAGGTGTGTTTTTTGTTTTTTTTAAACACCTTAGACACACCTGGGTAATCCCTAAATCCTGGACTGTTAGGTGTGCTTTGAGGAGAGGATTGAGGAGCACTGCTCTATAGGCACCTAGACAACCTATGCAGAATGGCAGCTTCCATTGTAGGGTTTGCTGCCTCTAGTGGCTGAGAGTTGTCCACTTGTAAAACTCTGTTATTTAAATCAGAGAGACAATCTGATTGGCGCAGCGCTGCATTTTGCCATGCATGCATGCCATCCTTCCAATTGTTTCCCACAGGAATACCTCAGATTCCTATCAAGAAAGAAAGAAAAAAAAAGAAGAAAGAAGTAAAAGAAAGAAATTAAAAAATAAGCAAATTTGCTTTTTTTTAACTTGTAAGCTGTGCCTTCCAGGATTCACAGAAAAACTATGGATTTTTTATCTTTAAATAACTTAGTATTGAAGGGGTTACAATACAATGTAAGTGAATAAATCCATGTTGAATATAAAGACAGCTGCTGGGGGGGGGGGGTTGTTGTTGCATTTGTGTGTGTTTGTAATCATCACTATAAAGTAATTGTATATCTGTCAGAAGTGACAATTACTTGTGCTTCTATCTTATAGGCAATTATTTCTGTGACAACTTAGGACGTTTTAATGAATCCAGGTGCCAATGTAAAAATGAATGATAGAAGTGGGTCATTATACTGCCAAACACTTATTGAAGAACAAAATCATTACACTTCAAAGAATATCTGCTATTGCAAAAGAATCAATTCAAACACATTGTTTCAGATTATAAATATAAAGAACAACAACTTAGTATAATGTCCTTCATTTGTTTTCACAATAGCAAAAGTGCTTGAAGAATTTTTAAGTAGTAGAGGTGAGGTTGTCCTGGTTCATTCAAGGTCCAATATCAAGCAAACCATCATTACAGAAAAGCCAACACTTTTTTTTCAGTCCAAATGAACAACTGTGAATGTAGAAAGAAGCACATGTCACATGTGTTATCCTTTTTTGAGTTGGTGCAAAAATAAAATAGCATTTCATTATATTCTAATTCACGAACATGGATGGTCTAAAGAAT